TTTCTTTGTCAAATAGTACCCTAAATGGTATTGAAATTTGTCACTTAATCAAAGAACTGTCTAAACTGTGTGCAATTACATTTTAAAAAATTAGAACACAATTTGCCCAGAAGATAAATAATTATGGTCCAATTTTATAAGTGTATCTCCAATTGTTAGAACATACTTTAAATAGGAGCAAGTATGTACCAATTAATTATAACTTAGGAGATTATTCTTAGCTCATTGTAGAGCTTTATTATTCACTCTCAGAAAAAAAAAAAATCCCTGTAAAGGCACAGCACAATTTTAATTAATTTTTTTCTCAACTGCTTAATTTTTAACTTTTTTCCCAAAGTGTTTAATTTTTAAACATGAGCTTTGCTAGCTACATATTTCATTCTCACCATCATATCTCTTAAGCAAGAGAAATAAAGTTAAATAAATTGGATCAGTATTCAAATAAAAGCCATTTAAAGTGATGCTTTCAAAAGTTAATCTTTATCTTTATTCTTCTGAAGTATCCATCAATCATATTAGCTCTTTAAAAATGAGAGCAGCCTTGAAGGCCCAAAAGAGGTTTAATATAAGGAGGGGATACATTCTGCAGTGTTATTACCTAAGCGGTATTGAAACAATGGTAATTTTATCCACTTGATTCCGTTAATACAAGGGGCAAACATTCCACGTGCTGATCTAGTGCCTTGGAACTGCAATTTCAGAACAACATTTTCCGTGAAACTATAAAATTAAAAAATCTGTAAACTGGGGAGATTTCACATGTTTAGATAACGATGAAATACAGGCCCATAATGACTGGAGAAGAGAGAAAGCAAAAATTCCCACAAATGAAGAAAATTCAATTAGAGGGCTCTCTGTTGAGGCAATAGTTAAAGAGAAATGACTTCGGGGATATTTGCGTTTTCATAAACAGTTTTTACTTCCACAAGAACTCCCCTGTTTACAGTCCTGATTACAAGCCTCTCACAGGAGTAATTTGTAGCTTTTCATAGCCGTAAGTTTTTTAGTTTCTGAAGCTAAGCCTTTTAAAATCAGTATTTGTTTTGATGTCTTGTTTTGTAGGGGCTGATTTTTTCACGTTGTCCTAATGACTTAGCTTATAGATAGAGACCTAAAACCTTCCCTGGAGCAATTCGTTGGATGGTATTGAGTAGATCTGCTGCAGCGCTGCAAGTATGCTATTACCAATTTGGTGGCAATAGAGTTTTCTTAGCAAGAAACATGGTGACATCTAGACTATGGGCATGGGATCAGTGCCGTCACTTGTTTTAAGTCGTCCTTCCTTCCCAGAGCATGCAAATGATCCTGCGGTTACTGACTGCACCGCTGCTAAAATCGCTAGTGTTGGCACTTAGAACGTAAAAGATGGAGTAGCTGGGAAAGCTCATTGAATTGATATGTTTTACTGTAAATTTCAAGAATTTAAACTTCACAAGTGAGGAATGCTGACCTTTCTGGGGTTAGACATCCACTTCTAGGTACCTCTGCTGCTGACTGCACTAGCCAAACACAGAGTGACAGTCCTTCCAGCACACAGTTCCTACCTGAAATAATGGGGCAATCAACCAAAAAAGAATTACCTTTTCCAGGTGCCTTATAGTTCCTTAGAGTGTCTGTTGGCTGAGTCACATCTCTTGCAGTAAGCCAAAGATAATATTTCTGCCGGCAAAGCTCAGAAAGAACTACGCGTGCTTCTAAAAAAATGATTTAGCGTTTGGGTGTCAAGATATAAAGTCCTTCCTTCATTGAAATAAGGCTTGACTGGGTTCAGTAGTTCTTCATATTCAGATATCATATGTTAAAACAGATTTGGGGCAACAGGTTGTTTGGTCCCACGGTCAGGATAGCATCCCTTAGTCCTTTTAGTTTAGCATATGTTTCTTATGGCTGCTGTCAGTGTATTAAATCCCAAATTGAAAGCAAAAAAAGACATAAGCTGGTAAGGAAGTTGTGCTTTAAGGACAAATAACCTAGTGTATCAGAAAATCAAGACACAATGATATCGCTTTCATGTTCTATGCAGTGTATGTGTATATGGCTGCATATTTATGTTACTGTAATTGCTGACCTGAAGTTTTGAGAGAGTTGCAGTTATTTAGAAAACTTTAGGCCTCATTCTGAGTTGATATAAGCCAACACAAAGGCAGCACCTAAATATCTGCTCCATTAATTTTAGTATGTCTTGATTTTTTGTGTTTAAATATGTAGTTTTAATTTTCTGTAATAGACTCAATTATATGCAGTTTCCTTTGCATGCACTTTTTGAAAGAAAGGTTAAATGGGGGGGAAATAAATTGTTGGTATTCATTAATGTTTGAAACATCGCAACAAAGGCTTGATGATAGACTTTCAAGTAAGAAGTACAAATTCCATTACAGCAAAATGGAAATTCAGCACCTAGCACACATGGATAATTCTGTAAATGTCAACCAAACTCACATTTTAGTAATGTTAACTCAGTTTTTGAGAATCAAAACTCAGTAGTATGGAAAGGCTGGTGAAAGTGATAACTTTTTTTCTTTACTGTCCATTTATATTTAAACACTATTTCTTTTAATGGATCTGGTCAGCTTTAAGGATTTTCTGGTTTCCTTGGCCTTGGTGTAACAGTTCTATAGACAACACAAAAGCAGTTGCATAGACCATACATAAGCCAAAACCTACTGATCCTGGGTAAATCTGAGGAGAGTTACTAACTTTTTTCAGTGCCAAGCTTTTTACGTCATCTGAACATTGAGGGAAAAAATCTAAGAAGGTAATAGTAAGCATCAAGGGGGAGGAACTGTGGAACCTGCATTTTCTGGAGGTCCCATCTATGTGTCGATGGCACGTAGGAATTGCTTGAGCTCTGTGGTCATAACCATAGCAATGCTGATTGCCTGGCATGGCTCGGGACGGGCATGTTCTCACACAGTGATTTGGTGGTGGGAGGAGAAGAAACAGTAAGATCTCGAACCATGCCAGGATCTGCACTGTAGTACCAATCTACACTGGCTAGATGGTAACAGTTCATGGCAGAGATGAGACATTGCTTTAGAAGGCAATATTGCCGATGTGTGCTGCACATAGGTAAAAGTTTCGTATTTCTAGCAACTTTAAAATGGATTACATTTCTCTTGCCTACTCTTTCAGTTTTGCTTTGGAGAGTTTACTCCTGAATAAATGTCTGGGTTTGTCTGCATCAAATGCAAAATACTTCAGCACTGGTCAAGGCAGTCCTTTGTGGCTCTGTCAGCATGGGACTCTGCTAAAAAATCTCCAAGAAGCAGCACTATCCTGAGCCATGTCAGCTCAGCAGAAGCAAAATTCATGCGACTGTCTGCATCTAAACCTGCAGATATGCCCTCTGAGCTGATGACTACACTCACCAGAGAACATGAATAAAGCCTCAACCTCAGGACTTTTTTACTACTTAGAAAAGCGTAACAAAAAAGCAGTCGGCATTAATTCCCCAAAGTTCAAGGAGTGCACTTTTTTTTCCAGTTTTGCCTTAATTTAGCTACATATTCCTTTTATTCTTTTTCTTAAGAAACCATCATAGTTGTTGAGACCAGCTAACCCTATAGAGGCAACAACAGTTTGTCACCCTTCACAGTCATCAATATATGGTTTCCTACCTTGCCTACTTCCTTCTGAAGTACTGAAGAGGAACCAAAACTTTGAAATGCTGAAAAGCGTCACTGGTTTCATTTTCCAGGGACTCAGACATGGCCAAAGAGATAAGCTGAGGTTTTTTAACAAAAACACTCATCACAGAGCCCAGCAATAGAAAATTTCCGTGGAAGAAAGTTTTTTTTCTGGAGAATGAATAGATGGGAGTAAAAGAACCTCTTTGTTCTTGACTGCGATAGCCTAGTCTATGGTATAAGACTTTGGTGAAAGTCTTACAATTAAAGTATTGATGTAAACTTTTCTTTCAGTGTTGTGTAAGATTCGATATCAAATTTTACAGAGGTAATTTCATTCTTTGTCTCCCTGTATTACTGACCAGACACTGACAGCAGCTGTATGTACTTCTAGATTCTCTGAAGAGGTCTTGCATATGAAGTTCCAGAGGTGTTTCAGCCCAGCTATTAGTAACTAGAGAACTGTGTTTTGGTATAATTTTTACCAACAAAAAGAGGGCGTTCTTTTCCGCAAATCAAAAGCACATTCCTCTGAGAAATGTCTAGCTTTATCTGCAGGAATAGCCTTTAGCTCACAAATGTTTCAGCTTCTATGCCTGTATAGGAAACATAAGCAGGGTAGGAAATGGAAAGCCCAGCTGAGATCTTTTTAGAAGAAAATGGTACATAGGCAAGTCCTATACTAGGTCTGAATTTGGCTTCAAGAAGCTTTCAGAACTGTAGTCTGAGTTTATATTACTTGAGCAGTAATCACAGTTCACAACCATCCTATGACATAGCTGGTTTTGTACTGGTATTAATATGCTGAAAAAATGAACAGATCTTTCTCTTTTCTTCACTCCTGAAAACACCATTTTTAAGTAGCATTGTCTCAGCACATCCTTCCTTACTTATATGTTACTATATGAAGATGGAGCACGTCACAGCACAAGCAAGGAGGAATTTCTGGCTGATCAGCTCCTGTTCTAAAACCTCAGTACTAAGGACAAGTACTAAGGACAAGAAGAGATTTGGCTTAGAGCCTGGCAACAGAGTGATAAGATCCCGTGCTAATTTGGAGAGCTTATGTCACCTGTCCTGCAGGTTATGTGGCACATTATGTGTTGATGAACTGGGTGACCATAATTTATAGTCTCCTGACGAAGTGACAGCGTTATGAGAAGAATGGCATGCATGTGTTACCCATTAGAAAATCCGTTAGGATGGCCTGGAAGATTTTTGTGGCAGTAAAGAGATGCAAATGTAATTTTCCAAAAAAAGATTACTGTTGCACTTTAATTTTGGAGTCTCATAAATGTAGTGATGTTCCTCCTTTGTTTCCAGTATCAGGAGGCTGCTTATTTACCACAATGCTATTACTGATTTCTTTTGTAGAATCCCACTCAACGTGAGAGACATTGTCTACTGTACAGGAGTTTCACTGATGGATGAAGATGTATGGGAGTTCATTTGGATGAAATTTCATTCTACCACAGCAGTGTCTGAGAAGAAAATATTATTAGAAGCCTTAACTTGCAGTGATGACAGAAACTTGCTTAACAGGTACAAAAATATTATATATCTGTATCGGACTATTACCAATAATCACTTCAACATTTATGCATCATCATTTGAGCTTTGGTCTAAATGAAAGAACTATGCTTTTCAAGCACAGGCTTACTGTCTCTTTAAACTGTCTTATGTTTTTGCATTATGAAAATTGACATATATTATGTCTTTTCGCTTTCAGATTTTCCTATGTTCATTGGAAGTGTTTGAAATCCTATAATAATTGCTGTTATTTTTTTGTTGGCATATCCTTTATTTAAATGTATTGACCAGTCTGATCTTACTGATGTGCATGAAAATGCACATCTAAAGTTCCACTGTTTTTACCAAAATCCTTTTACATCGAGATTTTTCTGAATCATAAATGTGTCTGGTCTTTGGAATCATAAAAATAAAAAATAAAAAAATTAAAAAAAAAAAACCACTTGGAGATTTAAACAAACCATTTGGCAGTGATTTTTTTTTTTCTGAGAGTTTTCTGATGTGCTGTTGTTAGACTGTGTTGGTGAAACTAAATAGGATTTTTTTTTTCCTTGTTTCTCCCACTAGGCTTTTGAATTTGTCTCTCAACTCAGAAGTTGTCCTGGATCAGGATGCAATTGATGTGATAATCCACGTAGCTCGAAATCCACATGGAAGGGATCTTGCTTGGAAGTTTTTCAGAGAAAAATGGAAAATATTAAATGCTAGGTAAGGATAAAAAGTCTAAATTTATTTTCTTTTTCTTATTTTGATGTAATTCATGTAAGTATTGTATATGTATGTATTCATGTAAGTTCTTGAATCTAGTCCATTCTCTTCTAATCCATAGAGATGTCTCTAAATATGAAATACATACGTATGAGTCATAAACGCATTTATTCATGGATTATCACACACATGCATAGAAACATTTGTCTCTTAGCAATCATCTGTATATATATCTATTACTGTATTGTGTCTGCACGTATGATAATGAATTCTATCTATATGTCAAGTGCTGCAGTTCTACTTTTACATAGATAAAAAAGCAGCAGTTCCCAAAGGAGTTTTGCTGATTTTAAGTCTGACAGAAAAAAAAAGTTTGCAAGAACATTATTTCAACGGTGGAAAAAAACACCAAACCATTTTTGAAGCATTTCCGTTTTCAAAAGGATGCTAATATAGCGTCATCCTCTTTCCTTCCACCCTGTGTTTCAGGTCAGTTTCAAGTCACAGTAGAGCAACATTTTGAATTAAAAATACATGAACGGGAAGGAGACGGGGTTGTTTCTTATACCTACTTCTCTTTCTCTTTGAACAAGTGCTACATGCTCCTACTCGGAAGCCCAGTCAACATTTTAAAATCCTTTTTGATGAAGATTTTTATATTAATTCAATGAATAAGAAATTTCTTTAGTTCTTTAGGGACAGCCTGAGGGTCTGAAAGATTTCACAGCAGCTCATCTGATACTGACAGATTAGAAGGGACCGTAACTCAGATGAGGTTCAAGTTCTTAAAGGCGGGTGTCCAAGAACTTCAGACACCCCATGCCAGGCCATTCCCATGGTGTTGGCAGAAAAAGTATTGGAGATCTGTTCCATTCTGGACTTGTGAGGAGCCATCTAGTGTACCACAGAATATTTGAAATGGTATATTTAAGATGCTGTATTTAAGCAACTAAATCCTAGTGCTTGATGAATACAGGTACAAAGCCTACTATAGGTTTCACAGCATCAAAAGAAGAGCCAAGGAAACTCAGAGACTTTTCTAAAGATTCAAAAAGTTGTTCATGCTGTTTTGGATAATACTTTATAGTATAGTGGGATTTTAGAAGAAGTTCAGCTGGGAAAATAGGTTTGAGCTGGAATTGGTTTTGGAAGTTTATATTGCAGGAGCATACTTTCTGAAAGTAATTTCCAAAAAGCTTTAAGAGTGCTGAAGAGTTTAAAAATCAAGAATCCTCTGCTTCTGGTATGATTATTCCAGGAACTGGACTTTTACACAGAAAGTGGATGGCAGACCCATTGCTATTATGCAACCCAGTGCAGTTAGTTATGCTCTGGTTAGCAAATAATTTTTCAGGTTATTCCAGGGATTTATACAGAGTTTAGGCATAAATCTGTCAAAATCTGTATTGCTACAAACGCATATGCAGAAGTTGTGTCCTACCTTAGCAAGTAGGTTCATCTGACTACCTAGCTAACACCTGTGATTTTAGATGTGGACAAGGTTAAGCAGTGTAGACAAATGGACAAGATTTAGAAAACTATGCCATGTGCCAAATTTTTTTTGTGTTTTAATTTTAAATAGCTTAACTTCACCTAAAATTTGAATTTTATTTATCTCACTTGCTTGGAATGCATCACTGTGTTATCTGAGTTCCTAACAATTAACAAGGCCTTATCAAAAACCTGTTATTGTCCTTTTTTTTAATGAGTAAATAAAAGAGAGTCTGTCTCTGCCCAACACTGACTTTATGTTACCTGCATTCAGTTTGATCTCCAAACACAAGTCAGAGCCACCAGAGTTGCTTTTTTCTGAAAGGGATATCCAGTTGAGTTTCTATCAATTGCCAAAAGATTCAAAACAGTGGAATGAAATAGTTCATGCAAGCTGTACATATGTGATGTATATTGAAAATAACTTTGTTTTGTAATTGTAGATTAAAACCTTTTAAGAGAGACTTTGAGAGGGTGGAATTAGTCTAACACCTTGCCCCTTAAAATGTTCAGTGAAGCAGTGACAGGATAGAATGCAAAATTAGGCTTCTGATTTAGGCTTGCCACGCTAGTACATTTTTAAAATACAAGCTTTATTGCAGAATTATAGTTCCAGTATACTCTGTCCCAAGGCATCTTTTTTCTACAATTATAATTTATTATTTAATTTTATTTAAAATTAAAATACTTTGTACGAACCGTTAATTTAATAAGGTGATATCTCAATGGTATTTCCCATTGAATTTATTATAAAAGGTGTTGACGTTTGAGATAGTAACATGAAAGAACTGAGGGTGATTAAATTATGCTATAATGCTATTTCCTCTAACTTTAAAACACGGCATGTCAAAGAGTTGGAATGACAACAAAATATTGTTATCCCTTTATATTTTTGCAGTATGCTTGTATTCACATTGTCCAGAAGATACTGATAATGTATAAAGTCTTCAAAATCACTTATATCCCATTTACAAAGGTGACTTAGAAATTGAGGTGCCTAACAAGTCTTTCGTAAGAAATCCGTGGGTCTAAGACTGCTGAACTTCTGAAAAGGAGAATCGAAAATATTATGCTTGAATTCCTGTTACCTGAGCATGCACTACCTTGGCTCCTAAATAATTTTCATCGTGTGTTCACGTGTGTGTCTGTGTGTGAAAATTTAATCCAACAGCTGCTTGTAAGAATTCCTTCATTCTCAAGTGCCGAATCATTTGTCAGCATTTGGGAATTTGACAGTGTTTGGGAAGCCATTTACATCTGTCCGAAGTAAGTGGACTATGCTGCCTCTCGAGTTGAGCTCACACAAGTGCAAAGCCTGTACAAATGTGAGGTATTGGAGGTTCACACCCCCCGAAGTAAAGGAGCGGGTGGAGAGCCCGTGACTCCAGGATGTTTCCAGGGAGCTCAGGCGTGTAAGGTCCTGGTTCTGCAGTGCTGTGGCCTTTCCTGTGAAGGGTGGGAAGACTGATACTTGCAAGACTTTTTCTATTTATTCTCTTGTTTCACAGCTGCAAAATACTGTTTTGGGAGGTGGCTTTTCTAGAATTTTTGCCAGCAGAGCCCGTTCAGAAATTGCTGTTAGTGGCTGACTTTTTACCAAGTATGCGTAGTGGGCAGTAATCAGCACAGGTATTCATGAAGGTATCATTTTCAGTGGAAGGAATTCTGCTACTTCTTGTTTGCACTGTGGCTACAGTACAGACTGCAAGAAAAATAAAATCCCTGCAGTGGTTTTTATGAGGTCACTTCTGTAAAGTGAATTGGTGACCTTGTCAAAAGACCCCATCAAGAGGAGCTTCCAATTTTCCAAGCAGTCAATTATGAGGCTAAGCTGAGACTGTAATAATAACGGGCTTTGTTAGAAAGCCTAAACGTGCTTAAAGGACCATGAAATCCATACTTCCCATAGGAGGCATTTGCCTCTGGATGTCTGTATATGTCAGTGTGACTGAAGTTTTGGAAAAAGATGTACTTGCTGAAATATCCATGAATAATTCAGTTGTTAGTGGTCAGGGAGTAGGATTTTTGATACCTATAACTGTGTTTCCCCTTATACAAGCTCAAGGTAGCAAGCAACACAGTGTACACCTTCCCTAAAACAGAATCTTCCCAAAGAAAACCCAGTTCTCTTCCCTCTCCCTCTTTCTATCCCTCTCTTGGGGCTATCCCTCTCCATTTCTCTTTCTTTCTCCCTTTTGAGAGGACTGTGGCTTAGAGTACCTAAGCATTTAAGGGTAATTAATTTAGGATTAAAAGAAGCAGAACAGAAAGCTGGGACCGTGCTAGTTCATTTCACTTTGAATTTTGAATTCCTCCTCTAAATCAGTTTGTAAAAGCGGGGTATGAACTGAATTGTTCCCCCAAATAAACTTAATTGCAGTGAAGTCTATTGGTATTACTTACACATGTCTGACAGGGGAGCTGGATTCACTATTTTAAAAACAGTCATGTTCAGATTAGCTAGATATTGCTTTGGATGTATGTGCAGATAAAGGTAAGGGTAACTATTTGTCAAGTGCCTTTTGTTATGCTGAATGACATCTAACTGGAATAAAAGACTTGCTTTCAGTTTCCAGTGGAATTACATTCCTCATACTAGAGACTTTGGAAAAAAACCCCAAACCACAAACTATTCCAACATGAAATGCAAAACTTCAGGAGTAGTCTGGGTAATCTTATAAGTGATGTAGATGCTTCATTTGGGGGATTGAAAAAAACCTTTGGGAAAGCAAATGGAACAGCAGGATTTGAATGGCCAGTTTCAAAGCAACAACCTGCAGAAGGTCGTTGCTGATTGCCGCTGAGTATCCTACCATACATTGGCCTTTAAATATTCCTTGCCCAAACTTTCAAGTTTTCATTCCAGGTTGGTTCTTTGAAGATGCTGCATCATGGACCAGGGGATTATTTTAGCAGTATTATTCTTTAGCAGTATTATTTATTTTAATTATCAGGTACTGGAACAAGAGAATTTGATTCAGTTCACTTATCTAGAGGTTATTTGTAATGTTGTTGAGGTGGATGAATACAAAATACAGAGAAGGCTGCAGCACTTCAAAAAGTCTGTTTTAATGGTACAGCTAGGAGGGTTCCTCTGAATACTTCTCCATAGCTGCTGCTCCCCTCCTTCTTTGGCGCCTGTATTTTGAGCTGCTTCGTGTCATTACATTGAATGAAAGCTGTTTCGTTAAGTGTTCATTGTGGTTTGGTCCTCTCCTCCTCTGGAGCTCTCATCTGTGGCTGTAGTTCAGCCCATTCTACTTAGCATCCAACTAAAAGTTAACTACAAATAGCTCAGCCTAGAAGAAGGTCTCAGTCCAGGTTTTTAGCATGAAACACTGGAATACCAGTGTCCAATTCCAGTGCTATTCCCTTGGATCCCCATAATCAGTCCCATGTCTTCTCCCTTGCTTACAGAAGACTACTTTCTCATTTTCAACTGGCCTGGCACTTGCTCTAACTCTCTGTGCACCTTCTTTTTGCCCTTGCAGGTACGGAGAAGCATTATTTATGAATTCGAAGCTTATCAGTGGGGTCACAGAATTCCTCAATACCGAAGAAGAACTAAGAGAGGTAATTTTTAAATGACTTCCAGCATGTGAGGCTGTATTTGTTGTAAGCAGGGAGCAGGGTAGGAGCAATAAGGTGTCGGTTGTCCGGGAACTCTGGTTACTCAGCTGGAGTCGCAGGCCCGTGCTGCAGCTGGGCAGCACGAGGATGAGGAGCAGATTGCAAAGGCACCCGAGTGGTTAGAAGTGGTGTCAGGAGGTGGGTAGTGCAGGCACTTGTCTGTGCTTGGCTGGATATGTAGGTTTGTTTTTAATCCCTTGACTACTGGTTGAGAAACTAAAGAGGAGATCTTTCTATCCACGTTAGTTTATGCTGCAGAGGGCAGCCCTAAAATAACCCAGTGTTGAAAGTAGAAGCTGCCAGTGCCTCCTCTGTTTTTCTTTTGCCTACAGTATTTACATGTGAGAAAAGCTGTTAACCTGATATTCTGGCCAAATGACACCACAATAGTTTGTTCTAAATAGAATCATAGAATCATAGAATCATAGAATCATTAAGGTTGGAAGAGACCTCCAAGATCATTGAGTCCAACCTTCAACCCAACACCACCATGCCCACTAAACCATGTCCCTAAGAGCCTCGTCTACCCGTCTTTTAAATATCTCCAGGGATGGTGACTCAACCACTTCCCTGGGCAGCCTGTTCCAACGGTTAAGCACTC